CTAAAGCTTTTTATGGCTTCGAATCAGGAAAAGATCCCTGTTTGCTGAATGTCTCTGATAAGCAGCAAATATTACAAAGGGAACTATGGTTGTAAAATGTGAATCAGTGGATCTGGTAAATATCAGTACAGAGGAAAACTATAAGAGGGAAGTAGGGAAAGGTGAGCTCCCCGAGTTTCTATTGGACTTGCTGCAGCACAATGCTGTACATTTAAATGAAGAAAAGCAGAAGAGTGCAGGAGACATTCAGGTCAGAAATCAGGACGCTTCTCTCCTGTCCCAACAGAGATACAGGCTATACTGCACTGGTCCGGCCCAGGACTGATGCTGTGGGAAACTAACCCGTTAACCATCCACCTCACCGGTCACCGGCAGCAAAAAAGGGAAGAGGCACTACAGGCCGTCACTGAAATGTATCAGGGAGACACAAGTGAGCCTTCAGCCAGCCCTAGGGCCTCACCTGTGGTGCTGGTTAAGAAAAATGGTGGAAACACCAGAATCTGTGTGGATTATAGAAAATGAAATGAAGTCACTTTAAGGGATTCTTCTCCATTACCATGAATGGATGATGCTCTGGATGCTGTAGCAGGTTCAGTCTGGATTTCACAGTGGACCTGAAAAGTGGGTATTGGCAAGTGACCCCAAAGGATAGGGAAAAGACTGCTTTCACAGCAGGACAAGGCCTCAGAGTGGTGGCTTGCAGCCTGTGCAATAAACCAGATGCATTTGAGAGGCCCATGGAGAAGGTGTTACATGGCATACCCCTCTCAGCCTGTCTGTTATACCTAAATGATATAATTATGCATGCTAAAGCATTCCAGTGGGAACTCATACATCTACAGCTGGGCTGTGCTAAACTGATGACTGCCAGTCTGAAAATGAACCCCAGGAAATGTGAGTTTTTGCTCATAGAGGTAATCTGCCCTGGGCACACAACCAGGGAGGGGGAATTCCCTTGACGAAAAGAAATCTGAGGCTGTACAGATCTGGCCAACTCCCTGAACACATGTTTGCACAGAGATTTGCAGGGCTCTGCTCCTGTTCCACTGGGTTTATTTGTGGGTTTGCCAATATTGCAAGCCCACTGCATAGACCAGGTGAGACGGGGAAAACCATTTCCGTGATCAGCAGAGTGTGATGTATCATTTTCTGAGTTGAAAAAGGCTCTGGTGACTAATCCTGTCTTGGCCTGTCCATGTTTCAAAACCTCTTTCAAATTGGACACAGATGCTGGTGCTTATGGTTTGGGGCCAGTATTGACACAAGAACACAAGGGACGTGAGCGGGTAATGGCTTATTACAGCAAACATCTAAGCTCTCTGGAAAGAAATTATTGTAGCACTCAAAAGGAACTCCTGGCAGTGGTTAGATCTATAGAACATTTTCATCGCTATCTGTGACGGGAGTTCTTTATGGTCAAGACAGACCATGCTTCCCTGCAATGGCTCTTTCGATTCAGAAATCCTGAGGGGTAGCTTGCCAGGGGTTGGAGAAACTACAGTGCTGTGATTTCACAGTGACACACAGGCCATGGTAACTGTGATGCCTTGTTTGGATGGTCTTGTTGGGAAGCTAATTGCAAACCCTGCCCCAAGCAGGAGAGCAAGGAATTGGCTGCTCAAGGGAATGGATACGCCTCTCTTCCTCTAATTCGCAGAAGTCCCCATGGTCCTGGTTCATTCAGGGGAACAGTGGGGGTGGGGTTTCAGGAATGGACCCCAGAGCAACTACAAACTTTCCACAGAGGATCCTGATGTCAAGATAGTGTGTGATTGGAAAACCAAAAAAAACCCCTGGATGTAGTGTCCCCTGACAAGGCCACAGTAAAAGCTTTCTGGTCACAGTGGGGAAGCTTGGAGTTCAAAGATTGAGTATCCTATAGGTCGGAGATGGGGGAAGCCAGTGAGTGATAGGTACAGGTGCCAACTGGTTGTGCCAGATACATTGAAAACAGATATAGAAAGCTGGTGCAGGAATGTGTTGCTTGCATTGCAGAGAAGGGGCCTCCTATGACTAGGAGAGCCACTTTACAGCAGTCTCGTGTGGGGGCACCAGTGAAGCACTTTGCTATTGATGTTCTTGGGCTCTTGCCTGAGCCAGAGTCTGGCAATCAACATTTGCTGTTAGCTATGGCCTGAGGCTTATCTAATATGGGCTCAAGAAGCTGTGACATGGGCCTCAGTGAACATATGTTTCACCAGATTTGGGGTCCCAGCTGAATTATACACAGATCAAGGCTTTGAATCCAATATGTTTCAACAGGCTTGCGAGATTCTGGGATTCCACCAAACCCCAGCTCAGCCCCAGTCTGACGGGATGGTGGAAAGGGTCAGTAGGACTTGGAGGGGGGGGGGTTCAGCTGGTTCCCTGTGTGGAACAGCACCAAAGGGACTTGGACCAGCACATTTAATTCCTTTTGATAGCTTATAGAATGGCTGTCAATGAGAGTGCACAGTGTACCCCAGTACTCCTCGCGTTTGGGCAGGAGCTGAGAACCTCAGCAAAGCTCTTCCCTGGAGAGGAACAAAGGGATTTCAACCATTTGGAGCATGTAGAAACCCTACAATGCAAAACTGAAAAAGTTCACCCCTTTGCTAGGGAAAATGTGAAGATCTCCTTTACCAGAGTGAAAGGGCTATAGGATGTAAGGGTTGTATAGGGAAACTGGTTTGACAATCCCAGAGGAAAGAAGGGTAGGAGCCCTAAGCTGAGTGAACCTTGGCAGCGACCGTACACAGTGCTCACCCAAATAAATCAAGTGTACAGGATCCAGCTGGGGCCCAGGACTAAATCTAAAGTGACCCAGAAGGACCATCTGAGGAGGTAGCGGGGGAGAGGATTTCAGCATAGCTACCCCCAAGGGTCAGATCGCTGCTCAGCCTCATTTGGAGAAAGAACTTGGACCCAGGTCTCCCACATCTCTGGTGAATGCCATGTCCATCTGGCTGTTGTGAGGCAGATTGCTCACAAGCTCTTCTGGAAGAGTTGTTCGGCTTTGTATAAATAATTAAGTATCCAGGTGTCACATATCCCCAGACCCTAACCACCAGGCTACAGAGTCAGTCTCTCTAGCCCAAAGTACATTTAATTGTTTGTATGAAGTGGAAGAACTCCCAACAGGAGAGTCTGAGAATGTTAACTAGAAATCCTCCCTATAGTTTCATGCAAAAATTTTCAAAAGGTCTCGGGTTCTTCTCAGCGTTGACCAAGAAATGTTTTGAAATGTCAAAAATATTTGTGGGGCAGGAAAACTGTTTCTACCCAGCTCTACCTTTAATACTTTTAATTGTAAAACCACAAATGTTGGCCGAATACTGCTGAAAATGGGAAAATATTAGGCCAAAAACTGGAAAGACATATGGTTTTTGGCTGACAATTTTTCAGTTTTCTGACCAAAAGTCGAAAATGTCCTGGAAAAACACACACTTTCTGTAGAAAAAATTTATTGAATGAAAAATCCAATTTTCCCTTGGAGGGGAAAAAGGTTTCAATGGAAAAAGTTTGCCCAGCCCTACTAGAAAGCTGGTCTTCTCCATCCTAGGAAATATAGCGAGGTCTGTAGCTAGCTAGGCAAATAGCTGTCATGGCAGAGTGTTTTCTGAGCAATCAAGAACCGGCGGAGCAGAGTTTCTGTAATGCTTTTGTGGGATTGTTAACTAGCTGTGTTATGGCTGAGGTGGTGACCACCAAAGATGGACTCAGGAGATATACATTAGGTGCCCGCCTCTACCCCAAGGCACCTTGTGTGACGTTCCTTTATGCCTCATTTTCTGATGGGAATAATATCACTTTCCTGTGGGGGGTGCATTCTTGTCCTGGGGACAGTCAGTGGTTAGTCCCTGAGGTCTGGAATAAAACAGAATGAGTTTATTATGTGCCCTCACTGCTCTTTGCCCAGGTGCTGTGAGCATAAATTCAGTAACGTGTATGGGGTGCTCTGTGAGCACCACAGAAAATCCTTTACATAAAGCCAGTGCGGTACAAGCTTCCTCTGACTGTGGGTGTTGTGGCAGACATATTCATAGGCACCCCACTGCTGGTGATTCACACAAACACTCATGTATTGAGTGTGGATGCATGTGCAAGCATCGGAGCTGTGCTATGCAGGCCAGGATGCTGGTGGCAATGCTGAGCGTTTGCACGAGCTCCATGGGTTTGCCTGGTTTTGTAAAGCTAACCTCAGACAGCTTGGAGTTGGATATTAGCTAAGGGGAGTGCCAAAATGAAGGGATGCTTATCTGAGCTAGCACCAGATGCCGTGGGTCTAATTGGTCAAGCTAGAAGCTGCAGATTCAGAGGTGGGGGAAACCAGTTAACATTGCTTTTCTGAACCTCAGAAAAAAACTTTCTTTGAATTTGGGGTCCAGGTGGAGGGGGCTCTTCTGTTACCCAGTAGAGCTCTGCAGAGCAGCCTCACCTTGCAAGGAATTTGGGGTGTCCTTCAGAGCGATACGGTGGTAACTGTTAACCAGGAGAACTCACTTCCCCTCTTCCCCCGTGGACGCAATAGACATCAAAGATATCATTGACAAGGGCCAGTCTGAGCCCTGGCTCACGGACCTGGAAGGAAAGGTGGGCAGACGGAGACTAGGCCGACTCAGAATGCCTCCAGCTGGTGCCACAGAGCCCCGTTGGGGCACAAAGCAGCCTTGGTAGAGTCTTTAAAAGGGCCCAAATGCCCTTTCCCCTCTGTCCGTTCTCTTCCGCCCTTTCCCTCCATGCCTCTCCTCCCTCTCCCTCCCCTCTGATGCAGGGACGGGGAGGGGAAGAGAGAGCTGCTCTGTGTGGCCAGCAGGGGGTGCACTTTAGCTGCACTGTCCTTCAGCCCTTCCAGAGAGCAATAGCAGCCCTGCTGCCTGGCCCTGCCGTGACCCAGTGGGACGTGCCCATGTGCCGCTCCCAGCACTCTGTTCCAAAGCGTGCCCCATTTTCACTGCACCTGTGCTTGATCATTCCCTGTGAGGGGAGAAACTGAGATGTCCTGGCTTGTTATTTTTCAGATCTTCCTAGCAGTGGCTAATTTTGAGCAGAATGAAAGGGGTCAGGAGTTCTCTGTAATTTACAAGTGGAGCCACAGAACAGAGAAATTCTTCCCGTACCAGCGGATCGCCACGCACAGCGCTAGGGACTGGGAGGCCTTTGACATTGAGGGAGAGGCCTTCCTCGCGGTTGCCAACCACCGAGAAGGTACCTTGCCCTTATTCTTCCTGGCAGTGCTCGGTCGGTAGGTGCTGAGTGCAGGAGGTTTAGTGGGATACAGCCATCTGGGACCTGTTGAAGGAGGACTCGGGGACCCATCCTGCCTGTAACGCCCCGTTTCAGAGTGGGGATGCTCTGGACCAACCTCATGGTGTCGTTAAGCGCCCCGTTATTGTGCAGGCACCTCCACAGCAGGAACATGGGGTGGGATCCTGGCCCCAGTGCCGTCAATGGGAGTTCTGCCAGTGACCTCAGTAGTGCAAGGATATCACCCATAAAATGCAAACCCTGGGAAAACGCTGTTGTATCTGGTAAGGCTGATGCCTAGTAAAGTTTTAAACAGTAGCCTTTTGCATTCTCAGCGTGCTGTCTGTAGCAAAGGCAGGAGCTAGCCCTGCTTTGGGGGCACTGTTTTGACTGGATATTTGATTCATTTCCATTTGTTTGTCAGGAGAAAGGGTACGGAAGAAGATGTAACAGTAGCTACTGGAATCAGCAGAGACTGATTCTTGTCATGGATGGCTAATGTAATGACCCCGCTAATGTAAATGAAGGGCATTGGACATCCTCTCTTTTACCTGCAGAACCTTCTTACCCCTTCCACCTACAGATAGCAAAGTACTCTGCAGAAATTATTAAACCACTCAGAGAGAGAAAAATATTGTCTGCATCTTACTGAGGTGGGGAAACTGAGGCACAGCATGATTAAGAGTCTTGCCCACAATCACACAACAAGCAAGTTGCTTAGAAATAGATACCAGATCTCCCAGCTCCAGTGCTTTAACCACTAACCATGAGTCTCCCTAACACCTCCTAGAAGGTGGTGCGATTTTCGGTTAGCAAACAAACTGTGGTGATGGGAAGAAATGTGGTCATTGCTGGGAGGAAGGGTGTACAATGATCCATTTTACCCTGTGGGAAATTTCCAATCCCGCCGGCCATCCACACACAGAGCTCCCCTGGTTGTTAGGTCAAAGAGATCCCAATCCCCTGTCATTCATAGGTGACCTCTTCCATCACAGCCCACTTCTAGCCCATCACTGGAACAGCGTCTCTGCCTTGTAGAGATCCCTCTCCCTCTTACCCCAGTGTGGCTGTAGATATGAAATGGTACATCTGAGTTACAATTTACCTTCTCACCATTAAAGTGAAGGATTCCACTTCAGAGGGACTCTGACAAAACTCCTCGCTAATGACCCAGCAGTTGTTGCTTCTCGCTAATCCTCCTGTTTGTCACAGTTCCATACTGAGGCACAATCCCAGTTGCCTCACTGCGGTCCTTGACATGCGTTCCTGCTTCACGCTGGAGAAAGCGGATAGTGTACAAGTGGGTCTTTGAAACACCAGGCCGGCGAAGAAACCAGCGTCTTTCTCCTGTTGAGTTAGCCAAATCGTGTTTCGCTGCACCCAGAAGACCCTTACAAACACCAGCCCTTTAAAGATGCTCCTTCTGCTGATCTGTCAGACGTTAATGACTATGAAGTATCTGCATCAAAAGGGCACCGTCAGCCTGGCCACATCTCATCCTGAGAGAAAAGTGTCCCTTGAACTCTCAAGTTAGGGCAACCATTGGGAGCACAGAGGCTACCTTGTAACATTCTCCAGAATACATATATGTTCTTGCTACATACTCTAGGGTAGTTGACTAACTGTTGCTTGTATTGACTGCTTGGACTGAGAGTCTTGAGCCATTTCTTCATTAGAGTGTGTTTGCATCTGCCCCGCCCCCAATCCCATCCTCTATGGAGTAACCATGAGCATACCATGCTGGCCTGACTTCATTCCATGTGTTCACACCAGCGTTTGTGTACCACCAGCTGTGATGATCTAGTGATGGGGATTTGGATACCCCCATACAAGCTGGCTGGGCATTGTGATATCCTCCCTAATAGCTCACCTACCACCCCCATCTGAGGTTTGTTCTGCCAGGAGGGATATTGCAATGGTTTCAATGGATGGGCTGCATTACGTGGCATCATTCCTAAAGGCTCATCAGAAGAGTTTTAAAGAGATAGTACTTCTCCTGGGGAGCAGTGAAAACACACTTGGTTTCCCAATGGGTTAAAATAATCTCTGAAAGTACCTTTCCTCTTACACAGTCTGCATCTCCCGCAATAACTCGCTAGGCTTTATACAGCACTTTTCATCAGTAGGTCCCAAAGTGCTTTACAAAGGAAGTCAGTATCATTCTTCCCATTTTAAGGGTGGGGAAACCAAGGCCCAGAGAAATGATGTTCCTTGCCTGGTCGTCTTGGCAGAGCCAGGAATAGAAGTCAGGTCTTCCACTGAGTGCTGTAGCCACAGTTCTATATGCTGTATCTGACCGCCAGGCAAGGCCAGTAAGAGACACCTGCCAGGGGAGAGAGAGCCCCACAACCCTGGAGTCTACAGGCTCTGTCGGCCGCAGGAGTAAAGACAACAGTTGCCTACGGAAAACCTAGAACTAGCAAATATGGGCTGGTGAATCTGAGCGATGAATCCTGTGTTTGTAATGGGGAATTGGGGACGTCAGCAAGGAGTGGGAGGAGACCTTGGGAGCCGTTTCATTTCCAGGGGAAACCTCTGCTTTGCAGCTGGAATCCTCAAAGCCTCACATCATGGCCACGATGCGAGGGAGGCGCAGGGTCTAGTGGTTAGAGTCCTAGACTGGGGTGTGGGAAATGTGGGGTCAGTTCCCTGCTGTCACAACCTGCCTGTGGGACTTTGGGTGAGTCACTTAGCCTCTCTGGGCCTCGGTTTCCCCATCTGTAAGGTGGGCATAACAGCCCTGCCCTACATATGTTACCCACTAGGAGGTGCTCAGGTGCTGTGGTAACAGGAGCAGATAATTACCAAAGATAGACTCCAGCTGTCAATCATTCTCCTCCCCCGGGGAACGTCTCTAGGTGTAATGCCTGTGCACCCCTTCACTCATCAGCATGGGGGTTACATAGGACTTACGTGTGCCCAGACCTCGTGCTGGCCTTGCATGGGGTGAACATCATTATTTCCCCAAAGTGTTCATGTTGCTGTCACATCATCTCCTCTCCGTTGGCCTCTAAGAGCAGCATGTTTTTCCCCGTGTGTCAGCTGCGTCTCCAAACATCATCAGCTAAGGGCTAGTTTTCTCAAGCGCTGGGCATGTTTGATCCTGTGAGGTGCTGACCACTAGCCAAGCATTTAAACACATGCTTACCTTTAAACTTCAATGGGATTGGGCCTGGGGCTTGGTTTCAGTGGCACGCCTCGCAAACGCCAAGCCCCCTGGACTGAGTCCCAAACCCTCAGCACCTCGCAGGATTGAGCACTGGTGGTCTTCAGCTCCCACTGAGCGCTAGCTTGTGTCCATACTAACAGGATGCAGGAGTTTGGACTCATTCCACACACTGAGGCTAGCCATGAAGTTGCCGTGTGCTGCCACCCAGAGGGGAATGTTAGTATAAAACCACGAGGCGTTCAAATTATTTAACACAAAAGGGCCGCAAGTACCGCTCAGAGCTTTGGCGACGGTAAAACGAGTGACTAGCCAGTGGTTTAATCAGTTTCATGAAAATAGCTGAATCTGTCTGAAAAGCACATTGCTCTGCTACTAGTGGTACAACCACAAAGAAAAGAGCAAGGTTTGTTAAAGGGTTAGGGTGGTTAATAAATTCATAGGTTGGAAGGCCAGAAGGAACTGCTAGACCAAGTAGTCTGACCTCCTGTTCACCATAGACCAGAGACTTGCTCTTAGTGATTTCTGCATCCAGCCCATATTCGTGGTTGAGCTAGAGCATATTATTAGAAAGACCTTCAATCTTGGTTTAAAGACTGATTTCCCCCTGAGAAATGATCATGCCCATAACTGAAACCTCCTTGATATCTATTTTTCTTCTATATCTGTCACCTTCTCATTTTATGCTTCTGTAGTAAATAAACGGTACAAACAACCACTCCACTTCTCTGCAGTTAAAAAAATGAGCGATTGAAAATTCGATAAAAAATGCAGGTTTAAACTGGTGTGCCTGAGAAGGACTGAATCTCTGCACTGCTGCAAATATAAAGTGGAAAGATTTATTTCAGCCTTCTCACTGTAAATCAAGCAAACAGCCAGCCATCCCGCGTGACCAGCTGTGCAATAATTAGGCATAGAACCACAAGAGGAAGGAATCGGAGATATTGACAGTAGGTAATCAGTGGCCTATGAAAACTATCAGCCCTGCATTTTTAGGGGCCCACCATTACACACATACTTGTAGGAAAAGAAAATTCAGGAAAGAGACTTGTTTTAGCTCAATGACAGTATGAAAATCAAAAGGCTCACCTTTTATTTTCTATTATAATAGATCATATAATACAACATAAAAATGTTGCAACAAAAAGTCATTTCAAAAGGAAAAACTGAAAATGTTTCATTGTGAAAATGCCGAGACGGAACACTGGGATTGCTGGAACTATTTTCTCTCTGTCGCTGAAATGTTGGTGAAATTGACATGATTTTGTGACGCGTTTAGATTTTGATGGAACTGCATGTGCCGATGGAACACTGTTGGGCTGTAATTTTTCAGACCAGCTCTAGTCCTTGCGCATGCATTAGTATGCATTAGGCTGTGTGCTAAAGGCAGGCTGGAGTGACTCTCACGTTCGGGCAGCACTATGGTCCAGGAGAGCCTGGGGGTGGGAGCTGAAAGGTGCTGGGTAACTCCACCGAGGAGAGATGAAATGGAAGCCCCCAAATCAGGCCGCCCAGGAGGTTACTTTGCATGGTGAGGAGGATGGAAGGGAGGGTAGAGAGCTCTATTCTCAAGTGTTTTGCTGGGAAAGGGAAAGCTGGCAATGCAGCCAGCCAGTTGGGCCAAACAGCATTCTCCATTGCGCACACCTGTGTGTCACCCCCTGTGCCTGGTCACAGTGCTAGCACCAGTCACTTTTTCTCCTGCACGGTGGGCTTTGGAACCAGGTTTGGTATTTGGGAATGACGTTCTCTTGCTTTCGCACCGGGCTAGTGCCACGGCTGCAGCCCAGAGGTACTCAGCACAGTTGAGTCCAAAGGTCACTTTAAGCAAACTTTGCATCAGGAGGATGGGGCTTGTCTAGCCCCTTGCATGACTCAGAGCAGACTCAGGACTGCTCTGTGTTATGTCTGGCTGCCCTCAGCCCTAAGGAGTTATTCAGGCAGGTAGGGAGCGCCATGGCATAGGGATAGCCTGGCATGAGCTGCAGGACGGTCTAGCTGCCCCAAGTACATGCCTAGGGACTCAGATGGGCACACAGGTGGGGTGATTAGTCCTTCCCACAGCTCATGCTGCCAGGGCTGCGTTCTATTTTCAGTGCACTAGCTCAGGGAGAACTAACACAGTACGTCTCTGCGAGCTGGCCATCACACCCCAACCCAAAGCGTAGCCTCACCCCTAGATGTAAGAGCTGGTAGAGCCCAGTCAGGGTGTGTGTGCGAACAGGCAGGATTACGTTGTACTGTCTATATCTGTACACGCACAGAGAGGAACTGATTGTCCCTTCTGTTGATCCCTCCTGTGCAATATTTCCTCAGGTCTCTCGGAAGCAAGACTGGTCCAGTCTCACCCAGCAGTTTTCCAGGGTGAATGGCACATCCCCAGCTGCCTGGTGTAGCTGGGACATTCCCTTTGAAGTGCAACATTTCAGTGGTGCCCAAGCACCAAACTCGGTAGCTGCACCCCTACTGAGTGGCAGAGGGCTGCAAGGCACCGTTAGAATTGCCCCCACATATCCAGGAGAGGTTTCCACTTAGGTATTACTTACTCCTCGTTGTCCTTGCTGGGTTAACGCTGTCATTGGCTGAGAGAGGAACTGAATTGGTAGCATCTGCTCGTTTGCTTCTTGGGAAGAAATTAGTCCCTAAGGGACAGACAGCTTAGCTGCTTTCCCCCCTTTCGTATATTTCTTCTGATCCTTCGCTAGTCTCTGTCAAGTTACTGTCTCATTTCTTTTGATCACCGAACTGCATTCTGTTTGCTAACGCCCTCTTATTTTTCTGTCATTCCCAGGGGATAATCACAACATCAATAGTGTCATATATCGGTGGAACCCCAGGACTGGGCTTTTCGAGGCCAACCAGACAATTCCTACCTCTGGAGCCTACGACTGGGAATTTTTTACCGTTGGACCTTACTCTTTCCTAGTCGTGGCCAACACATTTAATGGCACATCTACAAAGATCGACTCCCACATCTACATCTGGCTTGGTGGCTCCTTTCAGCTCTTCCAGTCAATCCTGGTAAGAAGTTGCTATTAGTCAGATTTGACTTCCCTTTCACACTGAATAGTTCCAGTGAGTTTAATGGGACTTCCCAGCTAAGTGAGGCCAGCTGGATATGGCTCTATGAGGAGGTGCATGGCTCATGGAGGCCAGTGGAATCTGGCTGTAGGAGGAGGTGCGGCTCCTGGGGCCAGTGGGATCTGGCTGTAGGAGGAGGTGCGGCTCCTGGGGCCAGTGGGATCTGGCTGTAGGAGGGGTGCGGCTCCTGGGGCCAGTGGGATCTGGCTGTAGGAGTGGTGCAGCTCCTGGGGCCAGTGGGATCTGGCTGTAGGAGGAGGTCCATGGCTTATCGTCTGGGGACAGACCGACAACCTCTCTTTGTGTGTGAATTGGTGAAAAAAGCGAAAGCTGCTGAGAGTGTCTCCTTTGATCACGGAACTCGTGGAAGCCTATTTTGTGCCCACTGAAGACAAAAATCAATATAGAAAATTAATCAAGCTTCTTCCTTCTCACAAAACGTATACCCTTCCCCAGCTTTGTTCTCTTGTCTTTTGCTACTTGAGTGTAATAGCCCGAAGTCTGTCTCCTGCCTTCCAGGGATTCGAGACAATGCTAGATAATAAGTGTAGAGAGAAGTGTTCTCTAGTCCCATGGGGTACTGCTGGGGTTTTCTTTCCTAAAGACTTGCCAAGTTCAGTTTTTTTTTGTATGCAGTGGCAGTGTTGCTAGCTGACATCAGTGGCTGGGAGGTACCCCCTTGGGTAAGGTGCCAAACTGGTTTGGGGCAGCAGAGGAGAGGAATAGTAGAGTGTGGGGCGGGGGGGCTACATGACCTCGGCGTCAACCCCAACCCCATTACACACCTGCTTTCATCAATGCACATATTAGTGTTTGCTGTCTGTACAGTTCCAGTCGTGTGCCAGGCACGTTAGAGACTGCTGAGAAGACAATGTCCATGCCCCCACAGGCCGAGACCCGAACATACAAGCTGAGGAGAAGAGCTGGGGGCAGCTCCTTGAATGCTGCCTGCCTTTCCTCACAGCTTTACAGCAGCTCCTAGTGCATCCTGCCATGGGCTGACTCAAACATGAAGCAGAAACCATGTGAACATCAAACAAGCCCAAACTCGCCACAGCTATTTCTGATCACTCTAAATATAGAAAAAGTGACTTATACAGCCCCTGCTGTGTTATCTTGCTGGGGGAAAACATTGCTGGGTGGGCGGGGATCTCCCAAGTCACTTTGCGGGCCGCTCTCCAAATCAGCAGAGCAGCGGGGCTCAGTGGGCTGATGGAGAGAGCAGCCCTGGCTGAGACAGCAGCGTAGTGCTGTCTACATCCCTACAGAACTGTTAGGCTCCGTCTCTCTGCCCTTCTCTTCATACACCTCTGCCCTCTCAGGCCCTGTGTTCCCCAGCCCATTAGCCAAGCAGCATCCGACACTGATAGCCCTCTGAGGTCTCTGGGAGTTTTGCCATTGACTTAAATTTCACCCTCATCCCGTTGACTGGAGCAGTCTCTGCTGAGTGCTGGGAGTTTCTTTCTATCTCCAGGAGCTGCCTTCACAGCAAGAGCAAGAACACAGCGTAGGTTTCACCCAGCTCCTGGGTGTTAATCTGCCAAACTGTCCTCGTTTTAAAAGCAAGTACCCGGGCTTGGCTGGTCTCCTTGCCCAGCCCTTTTTGCTGCAGTCTGTGCTCTCTGAGGGTGACATCCAGGGCAGCAGCTACTGGGGTCTCGCTGGATCTAGAGTAAAAGTTCTGCCTGCTGAATAATAGCCTGTGTTCCTAATTAGTCAGAGCCAGGGTCCAGAAAAGTAAGAGAATCACTGAGGTCACCTGCAGTATCCTTCTGAGAAAACAACTGGCTGAAATCAGCAAATCGCTCGCCTGGTGGCATTGCCACACCCTTGTACAAGGCTTCTTGGAAGGTTAATTATTTATACAATTTCACCTTCCCTCCCTTCCATGTGATTTTTAAATCCATGATGAGGGTGCTGAGATTTCAGTCCCTGGAGGACCGGGGCAAGGAGTGTTGTGAGAGGAATTCTGGGTTTACTGGAACACTTCGCTATGAGAAAGAGCCACTGGAGGATTCGGAAAGCTGCTGCTCTCCGCCAGTTACCAGCAGCAGGACTTGCTTCAGGCCGTAACAGCCAGTTCCTGTGTGGATGTTGTTTTTGGCAGGGCATGATTGCTCTCTTGGGGTATGTTCTCTCTTTCACAGAGGAGTATTTAACAAGCTCCAAATTGCAACCAGTGAAATGTGGCAGCTACATTCTCACAAGGCGGAGATGCATTTCAGTCCCATTTCTTGGATGCTGCTCCATGTCTGGAGAGCTTGATTTCTTTTTAATGGGAAATTGCAAACTCCCAATTTGATTTTAAAATTTACCCTTAAGATTTGTGAAAATCCCTAGCCTCCCTAAAGCAGCAGGAGCTAATAAAAGGAACAGAAAGTTCAGAACTAGAGCTAAGCAAGCTATGCCCTCAACATCAAATTGCCTGGACATTGATCTTCCGAAGCGTGTCACTCTAACAGGTAGGGCTTCCTATCTCTCTGTTTCACTTTGTGGGGAGGTTGTCACCTAGAGACTGTGCTAGTGTTGGGGAGGAGAACCTGTGTCCCAAAAGCCTATCCTGGAGCTGCCAGAATCTCTTCTCTTTCACAACTTTGCTCAGATTATTTTGTGACAATTGTAGCCTCTGGATCACCAGCTCTAAAACAGCGTGTACGACATCTGTTCCTAATACATGTATAATAGCATCACAGTGTGAAGCTGCTGGGGATGAGAGGTGATGCACTGTACAATGCTTTGGTCCTTCCATACAACAGCCTTCTCAGGCCGTGATTCAGTAAACCGTCCCTCTTCAACCAAGTACCCTTTAAGTTCTGTATGCACTGTAAAGGGACTTAACACATGCTTGAAGTAAAGCATGTGCTTAAATTCTCTGCTGAAATGTGGCCTAAAACGGGCCTATGCACACCTGTGTAATAGGTTTGAGACCTCCATCAAAAATTTATTCATTGAATCATGGAAATGTCAGGCTGGAAGGGACCTCAAGAAGTCACCAAGTCCAGTCCCTTTTATTGTCGTAGGACCAAGTAAACTTAGACCAGCCCTCACAGGTGTTTGTCCAACCTGTTCTTAAAAACCTCCAAGGATGGAGATTCCACATTCTCCTTTGGAAGCCTATTCCAGAGCTTAACTACCCTTATAATTAGAAAGTTTTTCCTAATATCTAATCTAAATCTCTTGCTGAAGATTAAGCCCATTACTCCGTGTCCTACCTTCAGTGACCACAGAGAACAATTGATTGCCTTCCTCTTTATAACAACCCTTAACATATCTGAAGACTTTTATCCGGTTCCCCCTGAGCTGTCTTTTCTTAAGACTAAACATACTCTCTTTTTTATAGCCATTCTTCGTAGTCAGGTTATCTAAACTTTTTATCATTTTTGTTTCACTCCTCTGGACTCTCTCCAATTGTCCACATCTTTCCTTAAGTGTGGCACCCAGAACAGGACACAGTATCCAGCTGGGGCCTCACCAGTGACAAGTAGCGCAGGACAATTATCTCCTGGATCCTACATATGACACTTGTGCTAATACACCCCAGAACGATATTAGTCTTTTTTGCAACATCCATTGTTGACTCATATTCCATTTGTGATCCACTATCACCCCCAAGTCCTTTTCAGTAATACTGCCACCTGGCCAGTTACTCCCCATTTTGTAGTTGTGCATTTGATCTTTCCTTCCTAAGCAAAGTCTTTATTGAATTTATGCACTTGTCTTTATTGAATTCCATCTTGCTGATTTCAGACCAATTCTCCAATTTGGCAAGGTCATTTTGAATTTGAATTCTGTCCTACAGAGCGCTTGCAACCCCTCCCAGCTCAGTGTCATCTGCAGATTTTATAAGCACACTCTCCAGTCCATTATGGGCACTAGGACCCAGGAAAAGCTGCTTATCCGAGACATTAATGAAAATATTGACTAATACTGGATGCAGGATTGGCCCCTGCAGGACCCCACTAGGCACAGCTGTCAAAGTTTGACTCAGACTCACAATTTATTAGACCACTCTGTTTTATTAGCAAAGCTGCTCTGCTAATACATTTAGAAGTGAGCCCCTGAGTGGGGCTTGTGTCTTTTAATTTATACAGTTTTTTGGAGAACAAGTTACAGAGAAGTTACAGACAAAAGAAGAAAAAGATTTTAGTCACCACCCTTCGAGATCCCTGAGACCAGTCACGTATCTTCAATTACCTGCCACCCTTAACAATCTCCTTTAACAGTTTCCAGTTAACTTAACTAATTGCCCTTCACACCTTCCATTCTGATGCCTGCTTCTTAGACGTGCTGGCTCTATCTTAATTGCTTCTCCATTCAAAAGCTAACTGTCCCTACGTGTGCTCCCTCAGATACTTTGTAACATGTTTTGGCATGTCCTCTCATATACAATGTATCCAGCATGTCCCCTTATACAACGTTATACTTATACAATGTTATACTTCCACACACCCTCCACAGCAAACCATTGAAAACTACCCCCGAATATGGTCTTTCAACTAGTTGGGCATCCATGTTAAGGTCGTTTCATCTAGACCCCATTTCCCTGGTTTGTTTATGAGAACGTCATGTAGGACGGTGTGAAGAACCTGACTAAAATCTAAAGATATGTTACCCAGGTTCGCTTTTTCGGTTCATTCTAGACTTTTGGTGCTGCCGACTGGGAGGCCTTCCCCATTGGAGACCGAATCTTCCTCGCGGTGGCTAACAGTCATAGTTATGACAGTGCAACGGTAGTACTGAACAACTACTATGCCATCAACTCCTCCATCTATGAGCTAAACATCACGGCACAGATGTTTGTCAAGTTTCAGGATCTTCTCACCTACAGGTACCAACTCTCTTTTCAGTGCAAAAACATCTGCACTGGGTCCCGGAGAGCTCCCGATTTAACCTCCTTTCCAGTGATCACAGAGTCAGACATTTGTAGATTTTTCAGACCAGAAGGGACCGTGACCTCCTGCATAGCACAGGGCAGAGAATTTAACCCAGGGATTCACATAATACCGGCATCTGCCAGGGATTGCACTCATAGGCATAGTTTGACTGCTATACTGGGGGTGGGGGGGAAGCGCACCCATGCACATGCAAGCACCCACACGTGCATGCTGAAGCCGGTCCCCTTGGTCACTGGCTCTCTCCCCCCGCCTACAGTTGTACCTGGGCTGCTGGTGCTGGGGGGGACAGAAGGGCATAACGGGGGAGCCCCAGCTGCTGCTGGCAGCCACTCCAGCACTGGCTGCTGCAGTGATGTCCTTGCTCTACTGCTGCTGCAATTGCCTCCCTGCTGGGGCTGCTGCTGCCCAGGGAACGCCCCATGCTGGGCTCCTGCTTCCCCCGTCCATTCCTGTATCCCCTTTTCTTCCCCATCCGCTCCCTCTTCCTCTCCCCTTCTCTTCCCCCTGCCCCAGCCAACTTCCCTTCCCCACTGTCTCTTCTCCTCACCACACCCCCCTTACTCTGTTCCCTCGCCCCGCCTCCAGGGGCACTCATGGCTGTAGAGAAAACAGGTGGGCACTAGGACCCAGGAAAAGCTGCTCACTCAGTCCTGCTCCATCCGTTTCCCAGAGCCGAAATGATGGCAATGACAAAGTCCCCTTCTCTCCCTGGCCCCCAAGCTGAGCAGAACAAGCCCTGCAGGGCAGCTGAGCACTCACAGAAATAGGGGGGAAGGAATGGCATGTGACCCCTCCATGCCTCCCCTGTTTGAGAGGACCGTGCCCCAGAGACCCCCCCAAATTACACCTATGATCATGCTTCCCCTCCCCTCGGGAAACATGACGAGAGGGAGTCACTACGTAGGAACACCAGGGCCCATACCCTGACCTAGCTTAAATCAGCTGACTTCCATGAACTTCAATAGCTGTGCTGATTTACACCAGCTAAGGATCAGGCCTCCAATTTGGAAATTGAGGCATGTTCCCATTTAAGCAAAGGAGGGAGAGTGTGGCACATGACTGATGACTGGGGGTGGCTGGGATGCTCAGAAGAAGGAGAGTCCCGTGTTTGTCAATGAAGGTTCCACCAACGCGTCTGTTCCCATCCTGTTTCAATGAACCACATTGTGTAAGAGGAAGACACAGCTGGCCACAGGGGTTATCTGATGTTTAGCAGTTGAGAGCGTAGGTTGAACAACTATCTAGATAGTTACACTCTCAGGTCTACTAGCGTAGAACTGGGAGAAGGTGGTTAGAGGAACCCCCCACTTTGGATCCAGTTTTCCCCTCCCCACACTGGATTTCAGTGGCTGCATTATATGTCCCCTTTGCACCATATAACAGGCTGCCCAAGGTGCAAGGCAGGAGAACCAGGCCCAGTGTCCTATGCAGAGCTCAGTTACAAAGTCTGTATCACCAGCAAAGCCAGACAAGAACAAAAGAAAAAAAACCCTTCATTGTCTCTGTCCATTTCCCTGGCCCTCTGTGCCCAGTGGGGACCCACCATACCCAGGGCCCATCCAGATTACCCAGGGCCCATCCAGATACAAGCACTTCACTCTGCTCCACACATTCCTCTGCGCTGAGGTGGATCTTCCTGGCCAGGCTAGTGGGGAGGCCCAGGCCCTTCTGCTGGCAGGGTGTGGGTAGATTTCAGAGTGCCGATCCCAATGGAAGCTGTGGATCATGTGGCCTCAAGGCCTGGCGCTGGAGCTTTGTGTGTGCTGAGACCGGGGACAGAAGGGAGCACTGAGAGGCCGTTTGTAGCTCAGCAGAAAGGAGGCTTCTCCCCATTCGATTTGAGTGCAGACCCTAGGGGGATGGATACATCGTAAAGCCTGATTGGCAATGTAAGAGCCCTGGGCCAGGCAGGATTGCTCTTCCTTCAGCCAGCTGCTTCCATGTCAGAGTCTCCACAATAAACTGAGCCCAGACAAGCCCTCCCTCATGAGTGCTGCCAGCCCTGTGCATTGGCGTAACACCCGCGAGCAACCTGCACCTTGGCAGGTCTTTAACTGACCTCCTCCTCCTGTGGGAAATCAGCCTTTCCGTGGCACCAGCACCATGGCATAGGTGAGCTACTTGGCCATCGTTTGTCAGCCCGCTCAGATGGGGTTCTAGCCCAACATGACCTCAGCTGCTCAAAGGGCAGCGTGCCTCTTTTGGCTGAGACTGAAGCAAGGACGTGTGTTTCAGGCCCCCTGCCGTAGCTGGCTGTTTCTCGCTCCTTCTCACAACCAGCAGCCGTTCCGGAAAAAGCAAGTGGGTGAGTCCTTGGTGCTTTGGCCTGTGTGCGAGCAGTGGCCTACTCCATTCCCCAGAGCAAAGCACTCAGGTCATCTTCTTTGGAGCTGTCTGCAGGACATGCGGAGAGGTGCCCCATGAAATCTCTGCCAGCCAATCCCACTGTGGGTGGAGCTTCAAGAGTGGCAATAACAAATAGTTCCAGTCTGGCTGTTCTCAGCCACCAGATTCAAGCCACTCAGCTTAGGACTTCAGCCCGCTTTACAGGGAAGGAAATGGAGGCATCAAACTTAGTCGCTTCACATCGTCAGGGCTTCTCAGCACTTCTTCAAATCAGGCCTGAAAGCAAGCACCAGCCATACCCGCCGTGTCCCACCCATGCCCTGTCCCGGGGTTAATCAATAGGCGGCCCGCAGGCCAAATCCAGGCCGCCAGCCGCTTTTGAACGGACCCCGAAATCTTGTTATTTACATAGTATTGTTACTGCGGTGTGAAAAATGTTTCTCTGGAGTCTGGACCTTGGCCGAGAAATGTGGAGCTTGACAAAAAATAACTGACTACCCCATTCCCTCTCCACTGACCCACACTGGGAATTTGCTGAATGGTAGCTCATTCTGGAACATGATAGTCAGGAACTAAAATCCGTGAGGATCAATTGTTGGAAAGATTCTTTTCAAAATGTATTATAACTGAAGGCAGCTTGGGGAAAACCTGCCTCTACGTGGAAATAGCTGCATTCCCCTCAGACTGACATAGTTTTTGTAAGTCACTTTTAAGGGAGGAGTGATCTTGCCTCTTCTGTATACAGCATACAGGCCCAGTTCTGTCCTCCTCAGTGCCCAGCCCAGTCATGTGTGGCTCTGAATTTAGCAGCAAGCATATCTCAAATGGAAAGCTTGGCTGTGATCCCTAATCATTCCCTGTATCAGTGCCTCTGGGTCTGGACACCACAGTGCAATTTGACCATGCTGAAAGGAGGTAAGGTTTTGTTACCCATTTAACTCCTAACCTCTTGTGGTGCGAGATGTCACAGTACAGCCACAGCAATGACCCACACTGTCTGTGTTTGCAAGGCTTGGTATGCTGGCCTTCACCTGGCCAGGGCTGACATGACTCTGTGGCATGTATACCTCACACCCACATATGGACCAGCCACTGTTACCAGAGGCCAGGCTTGCTATGACTGAAGTGCTTGTGGAAAGGGCTGAATTAGCAATTGTTTATTTACAAAACAAGTGCCTTGTGGGCAGTGGCCCAGCAAACTGTCCCACCAATGTGCCTCCACCCTGACCTGGGGAGACCATACCTGTTGGGAGGAGGGTACTTTATATCCATCATCCCTTCCTGCTGCCACGTCCACTCCATACCAGCTGCGGTCATGGCCTATCTCCCGGGGACACTAGGATCTGGACTGGAGCCACCAACTCATCACAAAGCCCAGGGAATGGCCAGCAGACGGTAACAGCTTTGTGTCTCTGTGCTGCCCTGGGCCGGATGGCGGCTGGTGCCCCGAAGGGACCTGGTGAGCCTCTCTAGGGATGGTTCTAATGACCCATCTGTGTGCTTGCTCCCTATCACAGTGCTCTGGACTGGGAGTTCTTTTCAGTGGGAGAAGATTATTTTCTGGTGGTAGCAAACTCCTTTGACGGATTCACCTTCTCTGTGAACAGTATTATATACAGGTAACTATGCCCGAATGGTGCTGCCCCATCTTAGAGCCACAGGCAGTTGGAGAGGCACCATCAATTGTCTGCAGTCCAGGGCCAGAGGAAATGCAGACAGAGACAGCTCAGAAGGCTCAAGTGATTCATTTCATCCCTTCACCCTGCTCTGCCTCCTCAGGATCTGGGCTGCTCTGCGTGGGGCCAGGTGGCCCAGAAGCAGAGCAAGCAAGAAATGTACAGGGGAGGTTATTCCACCCTTTTCTTCTACTCTTGCTACCTGATTGCAGATCCATACCTCTGAATGGGCCCTAGTGCAAAGCGAGCGTCTTTCTAACCCATGCAGAACTGGGCCATTTCAGCCAAAAGCAGCAAAAGAAGGCAGTGGGCCTGAAGGAGGAGTCAGGGAGAGAAGGAGTGAGACTGCGCCTTCCACTGCTCTCTGGTGGCCAATGGATGTGTTGGGTTCAGTGCCCACAGGCAGTGCCTAGAGGGGGGACCATGCAGAGGCCTTTCCCCTCAGGCTTTTCCTGCGGGATGCAGAGCTGGTAACGTGCACCCGAGCGAGCGTCCTGCAGGCCTCTGTCGGGCTGGGGACCGGTGCTGTGTGGGCAGCAGCCCCGCGAGCTCTGCGTGCTGCCCCCCTGCAATCCTGACCAGGAGGTGCTACCACCAGGGTGAGAGTCTCCATGGCTGGGCTGCCGGTTGACCTTTGCTGAGCCTGCCCACCTGCTCTCAGTGACCTGTGGGGTGGTGCTGACCCTGGTCACTAGGGCCTGGACTGAGGCCACCAAATCCATTTCATGTAGGCCACCCCACCCAGCCATCAGGTGATCATTCTAGGCCACTACTGGGCAATTTTTCAACCATCAGCCTAGAGGGAAAAGGTTCAGTATTTCATGACCAGTCACCAGTGCCTCATCGTCTGGAGGGGGGCAGAGGTATGAAGCTGTTCAGACTGGGAATGAATCCGGAGTCTGCTTCTGCACAAAACATCCCTGACAGGAGAGGTCTAACACAGCACCAAGCCTCGAGCAGCAGGATCTTCCTCTAGTTCTGTTCCAGTCACAGCCCTTCCAGATAAGGAAGCATGCAATGGAGTAATGGGGGCTGGGAGGGGCCAATACATCTTTGTGGGACAGCGTTTCTGTCAGTTTGAACTAGCAAGGGTCTGTCTACGCTGCACTCAGAGGTGTGACTGCAGCACGCGCGGACATACCTGAGCTAGCTTTGGTCTAGCTAGCTCGGCCCATGCTGCAGCAGCTTCACTGTTGCTGTTATTGGAGCTAGCGAGGTCAGAGCTAGCTTGGGTGCATCTACACCTGCTGCAGTCCCACCGCTGACTGCAGCGTAGACAGCCCTTCAGAGTCACTAGCGTGGGGAGGTGCCCAGTGGAGATGCAAGCCCATGCTATGGGTATTAACGCTATCCTCTGCGCTGCAGGTGGCAAGGGTATGAAGGCTTCGTAGCGGTTCATCGTCTTCCGACGTTTGGCTGTCGAGACTGGGAAGCGTTTCACACAACAGCGGGCTCCTACCTCATCTACTCCAGTGCCAGGGAACCACTCTCCAAGGTGCTGAAGCTGAAAACCATCTGATCAGATATTCAGTGATGTCTGTTTACTGCCAGGAGCGGGACAAACCCAGGCAAAGAGGTGACTTGTTCGACTCTGCCCAGGCTAGAATTATCCCCCTGCAGGAAATACGCCAACTCAGGAACGCTGGGAAAGTCGGAAGCCTCAGTGCCAAATCCCTGGGGTTGGTTGAGCTGTGCTCTGTGCAGGACCTGGACAGATGGGGGAAAGTGGTTCTATGGCACCTATCCCATTCCTTCATCCAGGAGCTGGCCGGGGCACCATACGAGCCCAGCTATGGCTTGAGCTAGATGGCGGCCGTCAGGCTGGTGCTATTCTGAGCTCCACGGATAACATGCAGCAGGGGAGATGGTCCGAGGGCACAGTCTAGTCCTACATTCAAACCCATCCTAGGCAGCCATCCTCTAGCTCACTCTGCAGTAGACCCCAGCGGGTGAGAACACCAGCTCTGAGGAGTGTCCAGCCTCCATTGGATTGGTCTGATGAACGAGCCTTGCATGGTTATGTCCTCCAATAACGCTGCCCATGTCCTCCAAGGTGTATTGATTCTTGTTTCCATGCCCACCTGCCTGTAATGCTGAGGAGGCGTGCAGTGTCTGTCTAACCTCCTCCCATTACTGTAGTTGTTTCCAGTTATTCCCTGTACGTGACGGGTTCATCTTGCAGAAATCAATAGGTATATTTTACAACCACGCTGAGTTGATGGAGATGTGATGATTTATCACCTATAATGATAGAGGCAGCGGTGACAGTTCCACAGTTACGGCTGCACTGTGATTTGCACTTAATGGGATTTTAGTCATTAGAGTAGCAGGCCAGATCCTCAGATGGTGGAAATCACCCTCACGCCATTGGGCCCTCGCCCCCCAATCTGGCAAAGTCATTTTCCCATGGAAGTGTCTGTTTAATTGTTTTAGTAAGAGATTCAGTCAGTCACAGAGGGAATGTTGCAAAATGCTCCAGTTGCAATTTTGTCCTGTTTCGCTCATCCTTCTTTGAGGTCCTCTGCTTAGAATCATAGAAGATTAGGGTTGGAAGAGACCTCAGGAGGTCATCTAGTCCAACCCCCTGCTCAAAGCAGGACCAATCCCCAATTAAATCATCCCAGCCAAGGCTTTGTCAAGCTGCGCCTTAAAAACCTCTAAGGAGGGAGATTCCACCACCTCCCTAGGTAACCCATTCCAGTGCTTCACCACCCTTCTAGTGAAATAGTGGCTCCTAATATCCAACCTAGACCTCCCCCACTGCAACTTGAGACCATTGCTCCTTGTTCTGTCATCTGCCACCACTGAGAACAGCCGAGCTCCATCCTCTTTGGAACTCCCCTTCAGGTAGTTGAAGGCTGCTATCAAATCCCCCCTCACTCTTCTCTTCTGCAGACTAAATAACCCCAGTTCCCTCAGCCTCTCCTCATAAGACATGTGCCCCAGCCCCCTAATCATTTTCGTTGCCCTCCGCTGGACTCTCTCCAATTTGTCCACATCCCTTCTGTAGTGGGGGGACCAAAACTGGGCACAGTACTCCAGGTGTGGCCTCACCAGTGCCGAATAGAGGGGAATAATCACTTCCCTCAATCTGCTGCCAACGCTCCTACTAATACAGCCCAATATGCCCTTGGCCTCCTTGCCAACAACTGCTGACTCATATCCAGCTTCTCGTAATCCCCAGGTCCTTTTCTGCAGAACTGCTGCTTAGCCAGTCGGTCCCCAGCCTGTAGTGATGCATGGGATTCTTTCTTCCTAAGTGCAGGACTCTGCACTTGTCCTTGTTGAACCTCATCAGATTTCTTTTGGCTCAATCCTCCAATTTGTCTAGGTCACGCTGGACGCTATCCCTACCCTCCAGCATATCTACCTCTCCTCCCAGCTTAGTGTCATCTGCGAATTTGCTGCGGGTGCAATTAATCCCATCATCCAGATCATTAATAAAGATGTTTAACCAAACCGGTCCCAGGACCAACCCCTGGGACACTCCGCTTGGTACCGGCTGCCAACTAGACATCGAGCTGTTGATCATTATCCATTGAGCCAGACAATCTAGCCAGCTTTCTATCCACCTTATAGTCCATTCATCCAATCCATACTTTTTTAACTTGCTGGCAAGCATACTATGGGAGACCATATCAAAAGGTTTGCTAAAGTCAAGATATATCATGTCCACTGCTTTCCCCATATCCACAGAGCCCGTTATCTTATCATAGAAGGTAATCAGGTTGGTCAGGCATGACTTGCCTTTGGTGAATCCATGTTGACTGTTCCTGATCACCTTCCTCTCCTTCAAGTGCTTCAAAATGGATTCCTTGAGGTCCTGCTTCATGATTTTGCCGGGGACTGAAGTGAGGCTGACAGGTCTGTAGTTCCCCGGGTTCTCTTTCTTACCTTTTTAAAATATGGGCACTATATTTACCTTTTACCAATCGTCCGGGACATCCCGGACTTAACCAACCAGAGGTCTACCAATCCATAGGCTCAGAGACAGAGCCCCCTTTGAACGCTGAGCATGCACAGAGTTATCGCCATTATTAATCACAGCCCCAGCCTGCCTGCCCTGGCTCCCCGCGTGCACCAACCAGCAGCTCTGGGAGGCTGAGCACTGGGAGAGGGGACATGCGGGTGGCAGGGGCATGTGAGGGGAGCATGGGGAGACAATTGGGGTGTGAGCTAGAGGGGAAAGAAGCTGCACTCCAATGAGCCACCCCCGGCCATTGGCACTAGGTGCTCTGAAACAGCCGGCCCGTTTCCTCCAGGGGGGGCTGCATGGAACCACTTGGGGATGATTTGGGAAGAAGCCCTGTATGAACATAAGATCAATGTACTCCCCCACATTGGAGAGTGCTTCTGGGGGAGCCCCAGCATGCTCCGGGGGGGATTCCCCTAGAGAGATGGGAGCACCAGCTACAGAGATTCTGATGAAGGAGTCCTGACGAGGGGACAAATACTGCAGAAAAGATGGGGCAAGATTAAATAAGAAGGGCCCCCCAGACCGCTAGTGCATGGGCAGAAGGGGCTGTGCTGGCCCCAGGGCCCCTAGTGCATGGGCAGAAGGAGCTGAGCCAGCTCCTGGGTCTCCAGTGCACAGGCAGAAGGCAACAGACAAAGACTGAGGAAAAACCCATTTGTGCTTCACAGCCAAACCCAGCCTTCCCCTTAGCTGCCCGCTTTGGAATCTAAACTGGAGCATGTATTTCACACTGTTGGGGCACAGTGGGGAGGTGAACGTGGCTTTCAGCTCAGAGACCCTGCCCCGGCCTCGCTCACATCACAAGTACAAACACTTCTCCTGTGGCCCCAGCCAGCACCCAGCACCCCCAGACTGCAGGGCTATTTCAGCTGGCTGAGGCTGGGGGGCTCTTGGCAGGGTTACGTCTGGGCAGCCAGCGCAGCAGCTGCCTGCACGTGGCCCGACAGTCTCACAACTCCTCGTCCTGCCTGCAGCACTCGGCCTTTAGCACGCAGCCGATCATGGCTGTGGGAAATTGCACTGAGCGAATGAACTTTGACTAGACCAGCTCTCGGCTCCAGACCTCTCCTGTCCCAGCTGCCTGGCCCGCTCCAGAACAGCTGTAATACCCATCCCACCCAGAGTGCGGGGTGTGTAAAACAAGTGATAGGACCACTGCTGCTGGTTGCTCTGCTAGAGCCGGGAAACCACGCCCATCTTCGCTAGGGCCCCGCTGCCAAATGTCTACGTTGCCTTCACGCGCTGCCACGTGATTCCACGCCCACTAAAACAGGTCCCACCCCAATCCCTTTCCATTTCCCCTTCATACGCCCCCAACCCAGCCAGCGGCTGGTTCCCCCCTCTCCTGCCTAGACCTGGGCTACGCTTAGAAATAAGCCACAGTGCGCAGGGCAGTGAAACGTGGTGTGCGGTAGTTACGGTGACCTAGCCGCTGGTGTAGACGCAGCTCAGTTGACGGAAGGATTCTTCCATTGACCTAGTTACCGCGTCCCGGAGAGGTGGAGTAACTGCATGGCTGGGGATAGGACAAGTCTAGGGTGCTATAACAGCACAGCTGCAGCACCATAGCTGTGCTGAGAGGCTCTAGTGTAGACATGGCCTTAGACTATAATCCTACCCTGTCCTCTTCCCAGGGGTCGGACACCCACTGACAGAGCTGGGATATCTCCCCAGTCTGCGCCTTTGAATTCTTCTCTGCCTAGAAACTCCAGTCTCCTAAGGGTTACCACGTGAGGAGAGGGATTGCTCCGGTTCAGTTCCTGAGCTGTGTCCCTCCCTCAACTATGTCCGTATCGCCTGGGAAAGGGAGGAGAGCAGAGATGGCCAGGGTGGAGTCCAGGACATTGGGAGAGGCTGGCTGCCACAGGCTGTGTCACCGAGTGGCTGAGTCAGGCTTTCCTAAGCAGTAATGTCTGGTTTAGAGCAGTGTTTTCCAGCCAGCTGAAGAGGAGAACATTTCGAATGCTCCAGCTGAGAAAGGCCTGTCCTAAAAAACGTGCTGTTCACTGTGCCCATCGCCCGCTGCTCTCCACAGCACACTCCCCGTGCATCCTTCCCCCACCTCCAATTACCATCCGAGAACAACTCGTGCAGCCATTTCAACTGGCGCCAAAGCTCAGTGCCCTGGTTATATTTCATCTTCCCTTCCCAACCCTGATAAATGGGCAGACTGTATTTTACAATCCTGCCACGGGGACGAGACAATTAAATTAGCAGATGCAAATCGAATCCAAGGGAACGGTTTGGGTTCGGCTCACCAGAAAAGCCTGACATTTTTGCCTTGCTCAGACAGTAAAAAAAAGCTCAGACATGTTTTTCCTTAGTTTTCCATTGGTTATTTTCCCACCTCCTGGGTCGTAGCACCGCATGGGGCTATTTCATTGCTACATGTAAACTACGACTGTGATAAATGGCTATGTCTGCAACTAGCAATTTGTCTGACTCCAGGTTTTAGATGTCTATTGCAATTAGACGCTGTGGGTCCTGAAGATGGGTTGCCCAGAATGTGCACTAGCTAAATTGTTATCGAGGCAGGGGTATAACAAGGTGGGAGGTGGGGTAGAAGGCTGAGGTCCCCTCCTTGGCCCCTGACCAGAGCTGGAAATTTGGCCAGCCACTCGGGGCAGCTGGACCAAAATTGAGTGGCATGGCAACCCCCCTCATATCTGATTCCCACACCCCTCTTTGCAGTCCTGGCACCTGTGGCCTTGCCCAGGGCCTGGGGAGAAGAGGGGCAGGGGGCCTCAGGATCCCCCAGCCCCAGGAGGGGTAGGTCCAGCTTTTGGTGCTTCCTGGGGAAGCAGAGGTGCAGAAGGTGCCTGGATCAGGGGCTCCCAGAACTGCCTGGCTGCTGTTGGGGGTGGCACTCTTCAGGCAGACCGCCTCCCTTGCACTCAGGTCTGGGCATGGCACAGGTCTGGGTGCAGGGTGGAGCTCAGAGCTGGGTGTGGGGCAGCAGGAGGGGAGTGGTTTTGGCTCTGAGGGCAGGGGGAGAGTCCCGGTCAGGGTGCGAGGACAGCAGGGGGTGAGGCAAGGGGCTGGGGGAGAGAGTGGGGCAAGAGCTGGGCCATGGCAGGGGAGGGAGAGTCCTGGGCCCGCTCTGCAGGAGCCTTCTGGTCGCACCCCTGTCCAGAATCTATATGGGATGATGTGGGATAGATAGAATCATAGAATATCAGGGTTGGAAGGGACCTCAGGAGGTCATCTAGTCCAACCCCCTGCTCAAAGCAGGACCCATCCCCAATTTTTGCCCCAGATCCCTAAATGGCCCCCTCAAGGATTGAACTCACAACCCTGGGTTTAGCAGGCCAATGCTCAAACCACTGAGCTATCCTTCCCCAGAACCTCAAGCCCTCCCCTGAACTGCAGCTGTCCCCCATGAATGCCCTCTGTCCCCAGGGTGGCAAATGCAGCGAGATGGACAGGTGGGTGATCTGCCCCAGGGGAGCGGCACAGCTCAGATTAGAGCACAGCCCTCCAGGCTCCATCCTGTGCCCTCAACACTAGGCCAGACTGCCTCTCCTCAGGGTGGTTTTGGCATGTAGCTGCGACCAGCTGTTCCTGCCATCTCAGTGCCACCTGTGGGGATTTGGCCTAGAGCGTAGCACGCAGGGGGGGCCATGTCCACGTAGACCGAGAGCCAGCACAGTTACATCGCTAGGGCTAAATGTATAAGAGCGAGAACCCCTCCTGCTGCAGGCAGGCCCAGGGTAAAGAAATGTGGGACCCTGTGTGCTATGAAAATTGGGGGCCCCACAGGGAATGTCTAGGCAGAATGTCATTGGGATGCCTGTGCCAGCCCCCTACCAGCCAGCGTAGACCTTTGGATGGTTAGTGGGTATGGTCGAAGTGGAGTGGGGCGCGGTGGGGGGGAGGGCAAGCACCAAGGCACAGCACCACTCAGGTTTGGCCCGGCCACCCCTCTCTCACACTTCTGCATGCCCCTTCAGCCCATATATCCCCACAACTTCCCTCAGCCCCATTTACACAGACAGCCCCCCAACACAACCCTGCAGCCCCACTCCTCAGTCCCCCAGCCCCCAACAACCTCTTCCATTGCTCCCAGAGCCCCCCACCTACTCCAACATCCCAATGCTCCCCACAGCCCCCAGAACTCACCCCATCACCCTTCTCACACCTCAACCCCACACTCCATAGCCCCCCAAGGTCCCCCACCCCACCACTCCATCAGCCCTCTTGCACCCTCAACCCCACTCCACAGCTCCCCAAAATCCCCCACCCCACCACTCCTCTAATCCCCACTCCACAGCCCCGCAACATCCCTCACCCTATCCCTCCACAGCCTCCCAACATCCCCCACTCTCCCCCACCACTCCATCACCCCCTCACACCTCCAACCCCACCACTCCACAGCCCCCCAATGTCCCCCACCCCATTACTCCTCCAACCACTCATGCTACAGCCCCCCAGTATCTCCCATTCACCCCCCCCACTCCTGGCCACTCACCACCGCCCCTGCCCTGCCTTAGCTCTCTGCTTCTGTCCCAGACTGGGGCTGCTCCTCCCAGTCCTGGCCCCCCAGCAGCTCCACTAGCGCCCACAGCCTGTCCCACATGCCCACGGCCCTGCACCCACAGAGCCCCGCACCACTCATGGGCGTCTGGGCCAAATCGGAGAGAGTGAGGCACTGGGGTAGCAGCACCACTCAGGTTACTGTTTTTCCCCAGCAGTCCGGGGACCTCAGATCGGAGCTCTGAGCACGGGCAGTGAGTGCCCCTTGATTAATCCAGGCCTGGGACCAGGCCAGAAACCAGCCCCGCGCTGCCTGAGTTCAGCAAGACGCTTGTTCACTGCTTAGGTTAGTCCCCAGCTGCCTGTTAAAGTGGTTCTTGTGCCTTCCTCAAACGTAACTGGTGCTGGCCACCAGCACAGATGGGACACTGGTCTAGGGGGCCCTCAGCCTAAGCTGATTTGCAAGTCTTATGTGCCTGGCTCTGGCGTGTTCTGCCCTGTGAGTGTGATGGGACAATGCTATTAAGTCCTAGCCAGTGGCCCGGTGGGCAAACCCTCCTCCATGCTGGTGAGGAGCAGACCGGAGAGCGCTCTGGATTGGGGGGCTGGGTTCCACATGTGCCAAACCAGACTAGCCAGACACACACACACCCATCCCCTGATGCACTCTGACTGTGGTCCTCCCCAGCAAAGCCCCTGGTGCGCAGGGCCCTAGCCAGGGGTGGGCAAGCAAGGCGTTTGCCCTGGGTGCCTGCCAACTTGCAGGGGGCACTCAACTGGTCCACGTTTTTCCTCGGCTCTCTCTGATTGGCTGGCTGTTTGAGCTCTGCTGATGATTGGCTGGTGGAGGTTTTCTTTTTTTCCTGTTTTGCTTGGCCGGCGGGGTCATATGGTATGGGTGTATGGAGCTCAGTGCAGTTCAGGGTACCCTCCAATGAGCTGCCACATGTTCCCGCCCAGGCATCAACTGGGCATATTCTGCACCGTGCCCAGCAGGTGGCAATGCAGGTGCAGGGAACATGCTGGGCCCATGTACGATCAAGCTCTCAGAAGACAAGTGGCACCAGCTAGGGTGAGAGACGAGCAGAAATGTCAGGGACTTCAAGTACGAGAGGCCAGAGATGAGCTGTGGGAGCTGCCTGGGCACTGGTGAAAGAGTTGCTTTAAGAGGCAGGCTGCCTACGTGGTTCACTCAGATGGAGGCCTCTGCTAACAGAGCATGCGCAAGGCTGCCTCCAGCCCGCAGCCAAAGGGAGTTATTGGGCTAGCACCTCCCCTGGGGCTGTGAATGGCAAGTGTGAATGGCACAGAATGGTGCCTGGTGCGCTCATTACCATCCTCACTCCTGAGCGGGAACAAGCCAATGACCAGTGGGTGGCCAAGGCTTGGCTGCCAGGACCGAGTGTGGTGAAGTTCCTGGTCCTGTTCTGAGCAGAAACCTGGCGTGTTTGGTACGGACCAGTGAGCAGCCTGGAGCCCCTGGCTGCAGCATGCGTCTCTAAAACAGCTGCTCTACTAATGAGGAGACAGGTTTGGCTGCAGCCCAGGTGCCCGCCGCTCTGTGACAAAGCCCGTGTGAGTATCACAGCCCGGCTGCTCGAGGGACGTGCCCCAGTGGCCGCCGGCGCCGACTGCCTCAATGCAAGCTTCTTACACAGACCCTGGGGATGGCTGCTTGGACGAAGGAGACTGAGCGGCTGTGGAGCACCGTGGGTATTACAAACCAGTGTAACTCTTTCAGTGCCACACAGCGCGGCTGTGCGTCCAGGAGCCCAAGTGGTGCTTGTGGACCCCAGCCAGCTAGGTGGGCCAAAGGGGCCCGGACCTGAGGTGTGCAGGGGCGGCGAGTTATATCTCCATGTGGTGCCTTGGCACCAGCAATATTCAGAGCTCAGGGGCCCAGCTCCACCAATATTTGGGGCTGAGTGTCCCCCCCACATCCCCCAGCCCCCTCTTGCTGCCCCCGCCCCCACGCCTCCCCGGCCCCGGAGCAGAGCATGCCTGGCTGCCTCTTCCGAGCAGCTCCATGCTGCCTCCCTAGTGCCCCCCATCTCCACTGCCAGGGCAAACTGACTGAGCCTGCCCTTCCACCTCAGATCCTTCCCTTTCCCGGCAGGACCCTCCAACAGCACAGGGCCCCCCCCCCCCACCTGCAGTCACCACTCCTGCCCCATGCTGGCTACAGTGAGGGGCAGCAGGAGGGGAGGAGGCGCACGTAGCACTCCCCGGCACCCACCATGGGAGAGGTGAGGGAGATTCCTGGACCTTAGAGGGGCCCACGGAGCACATGCAGTGACAGCGGTGAGGGTGAGTGGGCTGCTCGGGGGGGCAGGAAAGGGGGGCTCCTCCCCCAGAGCTCGCTGCTGCTGGTAGGGAAAGGGCTGGGGGGAGTTCTCCTCTCTGGCCCCTGTCCCGGAGCAGCTTGCCTGCACCCCAAACTCCTTATCCCCAGCCCTGCCCCACCCCAGAGCCCACACCCCCCAGCCAGAGCTTTCACCCCCCCACACACCCTCTACCCTAGCTCTTAGCCCCTCCAACACCCCAAACACCTTATTCCCAGTCCCAGCCAGAGCCCTCACCCCCCACACCCCAACCCTCTGCCCCAGCCCTGAGCCCCCTCCACACCACAAACCCCTCATCTCCAGACCCAGGAGAGGCCAGGAGCGGGTGCAACAGTCCCTTCTCTCATCGCCTGTCACTCAGCCTTGGAAATGTGACTGGTTTTAATGTGGGAACAATCTTCAGGCCGTGCGGGGATTCCCTGTTGCCGAAGACGAAAGAAATGCCGTAGTGGCGCAGGGTGACACAGCACTGTCCCGCCATGCCTTCACCCCACCCAGTT